GTCCAGCTTACCTGAAGAGAGATAGAAGAAGCAGCAATGGTGGTGAAAAATTGGATTTTGCCAGTTCTGTTTGGTTTTCTTGTTGCTGTTTTATGTGCCATCAAGTCGTCTCTGACTTATGGCAACCCTGTAAATGAGTGACCTCAAAAATATTATAATGTTAAGAACCCTGCTCAGGTTTTGCAAACTCAAACCTGTAGCTTTTTTATGGATTCAGCCCATCACATTCAGTCTTCCTCTCTTTCTGCTGCTTTCAACTTTTGCTAGCATCATTTTCCAGTGAGTCTCCTTATCTCACAATGTGCCCAAAGTACAACAGCCTCAGTTTTGTCATTTTTGCTTTTAGAGAGAGTTCAAGCTTGATTTGGTCTAGGATCCAATTGTTTGTCTTTCTGGTAGTCCATGGAATCTATACAGTTCTCTTCCAGCACCATATTTTAAAGGAATCAGTTCTTTTCCTCTTGGTGTTCTTTACTGTCTAGCTTTAACATCTATGCATAGTAATCAGGAATACAATAGTATGGACGGTTTCGGCCTTGGCTTCTAGTGCTATGTATTAGAAGCCAGTACATGATCTTTTCTAATTCCTTCATTGTAGCTCTTTCAAGTCCTAGTGTTTTGATTTCTTGGCCACAGTCTCCATTTGGATTGATGATTGAATCAAGATATACAAAATCTTTAACAATTTCAGTTTCTAAATTGTCAGCATTAAAGTTGTGTAGTTTTTCTGTAGTTATAATTTCTGTCTTCTTCATGCTTAACTACAGTCCTGCTTTTTCAGTTTGTTCTTTCACCTTCATGAGGTAGTTATTTCAAGTTATTACTGCTTTTTGCTAGTAATATGGTGTTATCTTCATATCTGAAATTATCAATGTTTCTTCCACTAGTTTTCCTGACTCCTTGATCTGAATCTAATCCAGCTTTCTGTACTATATGTTCTGCATACAAATCTAACAGACAGACCAATAAAATACATCTTGGTCTGACTCCTTTACATTTGGGGAACTATTCTGTTTTTCCATCTCCTGTCCTAACAGTAGCTTCTTGTCCACAGTGTAGGTTAAGCATCAGGACAATCAACTGTTGAGGTACATCCGTTTCTTTAAAACAACCCATAGCTTCTTAGGATCCACACAATCAAAGGCTTTGCTTTGGTCTATAAAGTACAAACTGATCTTCTCAGATTGTTTAGAATTCATATACTCTAGTAGTCAACATATCTTTTCAATGTGACCCGTAGTTTCTCTTCCTTTCCTCCAAGTGCTTTGATAGCAGCTTTCACTTCACCTTCTAAAATTGCAGGTTCCTCATCGTATGATTCCTCTTCAAAGAGGTTTGTCATCCCTGTATCTCTTCTGTATAGTTCTTCAGCATTTGTTTCCACCTGCTCTTTATTTTATCCTGGTAAGATAGTATGTTCCCCTGTTGGTCTTTCAGTATCCCTAATATAAGCATAAATTTCCCTTTGATTTCTTGTATCTTGTGAAAGAGAGTTCTCATTTGCCCTTTTTTGTTCTTTTCCACTTCTTTGCACCGGTCCTTGCAACAGTTCTCTTTGTCCCTTAATGATAACACTGAAAAATAGCATTCAGGATTTTAATCCTATTTCTGTTGGCTTTTACTTTTATTTCTTATTTTTGAAGTATCTACTTCAGATTTGCTCAGTTTGGTATGTTAGAAGATCTATAGCAAGGAGCTGGATCTTCCGTTTTGATATCAAACAATTTTCCACCACAGGAAATCTTCATACTCTCTTTTCCGAATTTCAGGACAGGCGCTTGTATAAGACCCTCTGTTGCCTTCTGTTAATTGGTTAGAGGTTAGACTTTTGTGAAAGTCTAGCTGTTGTCAGGACTTGTTCTCATTTTTATAGCTGTCCTGGTTTAGTAATCGAAGGAGAAGATGTGCACCTTTGTAACATGTGAAGTCATACTCAAATCAAAGATACGCTCTGGATCATCATGGAGATTTATTATACAGTTGCCCATGGCATACAAAGACACACATCCTATCATTTTTAACTGTTTCTGTACATTTGTATTAAAATCATGAGGAGATAAGAATAAGATGGGAAGCAGCCCTGTCATGAAGCAAGAGCAGATTGTTCTGTGCCTTTAAGTCTAAAAGTAAAAATGTCGGAAGAGGGAGGAAAAGGAAAGATACAGAAAGACCCTTTCTAGTTTTAGCAGTAAGTTGGCTAATTTTAGCAAACATTATCTATGACCTGTAGTGATTCTGAGACTCAGGTTGCTGGCCTCTCAAAACATATTTATCTGATCCAGTGTCCTAGCAGTCCAAATAAGCCATAGTTTCTTGTTCTCTCCCATCACTGAGATTACCTTTCCTGCAGTTGTAAGCCTCCATGTTTATAGGCATTTCTGCTACATTTTTCTCTTTTAAACTCTTCCCTGGCTTATTTACTTAACTTGCCCAGCAGTTTCCAAATAATAAAACTGAATCCTGTTGAACGTTTGCCTACTGGTTTATACCTTTCTCTGTTTGTTCCCTCTTCTCCTGATCATTGTCATCCTGCCATAACACCATTGTAACGTCCTTAACTTGAACTGCAATAAAAATGGATAATCTCTGCTACTGTACAAATAGGAGGACTGGATGTATGATATTTGGCCCTCCTGTACTGTGTAACTTTACTGTGAGAGAAATGTCCTCCCCTTAGTTTTATTTTTATAGGCAGAGATGGTGTTCAACCATGGTCTAAGCTTGCAGTGCCCCTCCATAGAATCATAGAATAGTAAAGTTGGAAGGGGCTTATAAGGCCATCAAGTCCAACATCCTGCTCAATGTAGGAATAATCCACTCAGGTTATAGGTTACTTATGGACAAAAATGTAATATTTTTAGAATGACAGAGCTGATTTGGAAATACATTCTCCCCAATTAAAAAAAACGATATAGTTTCCTGTCCAGGGTTGAGTTCCTTTCTGGAGGTTTGCAAGAAAAGTCAACTGTGAAAGGTGTCAGTTAGCAAATGCCTATAATGCTACATGCCCAAACTGCTTTGTAAGTGTTCTGCTAACATGTTCTTGATTTTTTATTTTTAAAACAATTTTATTTTATATTTTAATAAGAAAGGCAGTGATAAATGAATAAAGGCATATATGGCATCCATAAAACATAAAAAACAAAATGCCTGCATGCAGTGTACAGGTAGAGTCCAGTTCCACTGGCTAACCAGATAATTTTCCTAACTACTGAATATGAATTTAGAAAAGAAACATTGAAAAATCTTTGAGCAAAATAACTAACAGGAAGGAAGGAAAGGCTGCTGATGTTTGGAGAGAACGACCATGCTGTACATATCTCTGAATATTTGTACAGTATAATGTATACCAGATCTTTGTGTTTTCCAGGTTAATACTAAAACTGTGTCCCATTTCTAGTGTTTATAATGAGAAAAAAATGTTTTAATGTGTGAAAATGAAGGATTGAGCGAAACAGTGCTGCACCTTCTCAATTGATTTGCCACTGCCATCCCAGCTATCTACTTCATAGTTTTCCTTTGTGTCTCACATCATGTCCTTCTGCTGAGGCCTAGTTGAGGCATGTTATCCCTGTCACCTATCTGTGCTTCTAGATGAGGCTTTTTGTTGTGGAGTGAGCTAGTCTTGCACTGATAACTCATGTCAGGCTTCTGCCTCTGCCTTTTGTATTAACCCCCCCCCGAAGCTCAGGGAAATGTGGGGTTAGTACTTGGAGACATGTGTTTGGAGGCCCCTTCTGTACAGCTTGGAATTCAGAGAGAATCTAGAGATATCAGTTATTTAAGAACAGGCAAAATAGCAGATCAAACCCAAAAGGAATGAAATCTGGTTGACTGCTGCTATTCAGTTATCATCAGCAGCATATAATAGCTTATTTTTTTCTTGAGATAATTAGGATTCCCAACTTGCCGGGAGAGGAGGCAATGTTAATCTTTTTAATCGTATATAACTCTTTAATTCTGAGACTGAGGCTAGAACTAGATTTTACTATAATCTTGTATCTAGAAATCAGTGCCCTCTCAGGTTCTGGAATAGCTAAATTTAGAAACATGTTAGTAGCTATGCGTTTTGTAGTTTCCTGGTGTTATTTCAGCCCTATAAGCCTTTAGTCCTGCATCTCAGTTCCTCACAGCAGAGAGAAATGACGGTGTCCAAAAAGCAACAGTGTATTTGTATAAGCACCATCACCCACTGCATTATTATGGTTTAAAAAATGAAAATTCCTCCAATTATGTTCAGAGCAAGTAAAAGTGTAAGGAGTGTTGGAAAGAAAAGCAGTTAGATCAAGATTCCATCTTCTCTTCCTCCTAAAACACATTCTTGGGCAGCCTACTCCATTTAGGCTGGGTATCTTCTTCCTGGTAGACAGATGATTGTTATACTGGGTTTCTACTGCAGTAGTAAAGGGATCCAAACAGAGGGACATGAAAAACTGAATCAGGTGATACTGGGGGACATCTCCAGCACACTGCCTATCTCTGTTACCCTACAGTACTGTTGTATTTTTTCAGCAGTCCTTGATTTGCATCGCAGTAGCAGGAACTTAAGTGTCAACTGAGTGTGTCTATTGAGGTCTTAATTTAAGAGCAACTAGTTCTTGATACAGGTTTCATGTTGGCCTGGATTTGTGCTTTTATTATTGCTGTATTTTCTGCTGGCCTTAGGACAGAGGCAAAGAAAAAACCTAGTGGACTCAGCGACAACATTTCCTTACTTTGCACATGCTGGTTGCAAAGAGACGGTCACCCCTTCCTTTTTTGCACACAAAAGGGGAGTGAGAGCAGGTTGCTCATATCTCCCAGAGGTGGTTTTAATAACCTGTAGCAAGCAAGTGTAGGCTGCCATATTTGCCATGGCTTATTTGTGGTGATACAGAGTTGACTTCCTGCTGTATTGTTACAGGTAAGATACAGTATAAACAGTTGAACTCTTGACCTGCTCCCAGCTATGAATGGTGTTTTCCTTTGTCATTTCGGTTTTCCGTATCTTTTCTTTCCAGCACTCTACAAGCTAATGCACAGCCTGCCACACCTGTCACAAACAGAAGCTACCTCAATGGAGGGACAGATGTACCACTCATCTCTAAAACATTGGACCGGTGCCTAGAAGAGACCACTTCCCGGTATCCTGACCGAGAAGCTCTGGTCTTCCCTATAGAAGGGATTCGAAAGACGTTTGCCCAGTTTAGAAAAGATGTAAGTGATTGATTTTACTCACTACTGCAACTAGACTGCCAAGGTGGACAGTTTGGCATCCCATGAGAATAGTCCACAGGAACAGAATGGTGGGACTCAGTTCAGAAACTCTTTGAAGTAAATTACGGTAGAAAGTGTTTTAACTTATTGTATGTTAAAATTTAGGGGAAGAACATATACTTAAACCCCCCTGATTGGAATGAAAATTTTCTTTTCGTATCAAACAAATGCATTTTTAAAACAAAAGTTATAAATGCTCTAGCCTGTCTGAAAACTGCTGTCTCTGTGCAAAAAGACATTTTCAGAATTGACCGCCCCTTTTCGTTCTACTGCCCCCCTGAAAAATGAAATTGCCCCCTGGGGGGCATTATCGCCCACGTTAAGAACCACTGCTCTAGCCTGTCTGAAAACTGCTATCTCTGTGCAAAAAGACATTTTCAGAATTCCCTTTTTGAGGGCCGATTGCTTGTGGTGAGAAACCATTCTGCACATACCTGAAAAAAACATGCATTTATGTTACCGATTTCACAGAGAAATGAATGTGAAAAACAAACCATTTTAAAAACGATGGCTCAGTAATATCAAAGAAAGGTGATCTCCACACTTGTTTACTCAGGAGCTAAACTCACAAAGTATATTGGGAATTAGTCCCAACTAAGTGTGTCCAAGGATTACAGTTTTTGGTACAGAATGCTAAAGCGGTTTAGGGTTTCATGGGTCAAAACATTTTTTAAAAAAAAGTTGGTGCCATTATTTTTGCTTAATAATTATTATGAGCTTCTTGTTGCTTGCATAATATTTTGCAAAGTAATTTGCTAACCTTGATAAGAGCAAATACTGTAATTTTTTTCTCAAACTGATTTTACTCATGCCATTAAACATGATGCCAGTGAGAAGTGAATATTTTTCCTACTGCTTCTGCTAAAAGCAGCTCCATTGTGGTCCAGTTTGAAGCAAGGCTGTGGGACTGGGAGAGTTCGGGTACAGTCCTTCTTCGGCTTCATGCTGTGGCCCTGTTCCAAGTTCTGCTCCAGAAGCTGATGTAATCCATGGAGGGGAGAACACTGTGGGACAAATTAGGGGTCTTTGTATTTTGCTCCTTGTAGCTAATAGCAGTTTGAAGTGGGTTATTTGGATCAAGGCCACAGCGTGGAGTAGGAATGGCTCGATCATCCCTTTAGTAGTTGTTACAGCCATTCTCCAAATCAGGGACCAGTGGAACTAGTTTTAGCAAACAAAAAAAAAAGGTGTTGGGATAGGCATCCATACTGTCCCCGTGGCTCTTTTGGTGTGTCCTTTTATAGTCCTCTGAGACAGTGTCTCCTGGAAATTTCAGGTGGAACAAGCAGCAGCTGGACTTCTGGCTTTTGGTTTGAAAAAGGGTGATCGACTTGGAATGTGGGGTCCCAACAAGTATGAGTGGGTCCTCATGCAGTTTGCCACCGCTCAGGCAGGAATCATCCTGGTAAGACCATCTTCTTTATAAATACAGAGCACATGTTCCGAATGGAAGGTGCTCTTGATCCCTCCACTTTAAATTAAGACTTTCCCATATTTGGTTTCCTGGGAAGTAACGTAAGGATTGCAACACAGGTGCCCTCCATTTCAGGACTTGGAAAATAATTTGATTTGGCTTTTGACAGAAAAATCGTTTTGCATTAAGTGAATGGAAGCATAAAAATGCTTGCTTTCATTATTGCCCAACATGGCAATGTGTTGCCTGCGGAATTAACTTGTAAACTGCCCAGAGAGTGATTTAAGCGCTATGGCATGGTATATAAGCAGCGCACTTTGCTTTTACCTTTTTATCAGGTCTACTGACGTCTATGTCATTAACCCCCAAACATGTTTGAAGGCTTTTTTTTAGACCCCCTCCATTTTATCAGTTTCTTTCCTTCTTTAAGAAACAGGTAAGGTGAAATTGGCAAGAATGTTTGCCTTGTAAAACAAGGTAATTGTGTTGGGTTGTTAAGGGAAGAGAGATGGAAGGACAGGAAAGGTGGGTCACCTTATATGCAGCATGATATGAGTGCACCTGTTTGCACAGTATCATTGCTAATTGGAGGAGCTTCTTCTTCAGCACTAAACTGAGGGATTGTGGTGGTAGCATTTAGAGCTGGAGATACATAACAGGAACATTTGGCTTGTTTTGTATTTTTTTTGTTCCCTGAAACATCTTACCTCTCAGCACAAACTATAATTGGGTTCTGCTCAGATCCACACCCAGTGGCGCTCTGTACGTACCAAAGGAGTAAGGGAGTGAGGTGATCCTTACCTTTCCTCTTCTCCCGGTATCTTCTGGAAAACTGATTCAGAAAGCCAGAGGCCTCTCCAGAGCTATTATAGATCTGTGCAGATTGCAGGGGGCTGCAGAGAAGGATGAGGAATCAGGAAGGTCACCTCTTAGTACCTTCCATTAAGTCCTGGAACAGCCAGCCAGAGGCCTCTCCAGAGCTATTATAGATTTGTGCAGATTGCAGGGGGCTGCAGAGAGGGATGAGGAATCACCTCTTAGTACCTTCCACTAAGTCCTGGAACAGCCGTTTTAGATCTGACTTAATGTCTAATCATAGATCTAATATCTCATAGTGTATTACAGTGACTCATAATAGGTGGTTAGAACATAGGCTGTCTGATTGATCTTACCATGTCTTTCCATTTCTAGGTATCTGTGAACCCAGCATATCAATACCAAGAACTGGAGTTTGTGTTGAGGAAGGTATGAAAGACCTACTTCAGACAACACTGATTTATTCCATCCACAGCATTTTTGAGGGTCAAACTATATGAGATGCCAACTTCACAGTTAGAAGGTGATAAAACGTTATCTCTTGAGAGATAAATTCTGCCACTACTGCCATGTTTTAGCAATCTCAGTTGCCCATGCTTAATTCCTGATGACAAGTCATGAAACAATGGCTGAAATCCTGTTGCACATCTTTTCTTGTGCAGTGGTGATGAGATCAACATCAACAACAAATTGCTATTAACTAAAGATGTTCTTTGGGGATTTCTGGGTACATGTGACTTTGTCACATTGTGCACAGGTTGCATGCACCTGAAAATCTGCTTTAATCAGTAGCAATTCACTTTTAATTAGCGTCTTACCTTTTTCTGTCCTTTTAAAGATCCACAAGATCCATACTATAAGTCAAAAAAAAGAACACTATTGTTAGTCATCATTGGTAACAGGAACTCTGCCTGGGGGTGGTAGAAGGTTTTAGGTCAAACTACTTGGAGGGTCCAAGCTTCCCACCCCACTTCCACTGCTAGATTTTCTTCATGAAGAACTGATGTTATTGTTTGATACATTAAAATGAGAAGCAGCTGCTTAGAGTGTAAAACAACAGAGCAGCACACATCAAAGTTTATTACGACAAATACAATCAGTAAATGGGCATTCCTCATGGGCAGGAGTTCGTGTCATGCTGCAGGTGATATGGAGAGCCAAAATAAACTCTGTGGTCCACAGTGCAGTCAGTTGCTTGCCTGAACAACATAAATAATTACTTTACAGGGAAGCTGAACAGGTCATTCCAGTTCCAATTCCTTAACAAAGAGGGATTAAAACCATTTTGTGAATGATATTAAGATATGGAGAGCCAAAATAAACTCTGTGGTCAACAGTGCAGTCAGTTGCTTGCCTCAGAGTGTCCTGAACAACATAAATAATTACTTTACAGGGAAGCTGAACAGGTCATTCCAGTTCCAATTCCTTAACAAAGAGGGATTAAAACCATTTTGTGAATGATATTAAGCCCTACAGGATTAAGAAGTCTGTTGTGCTTCTCTTTCTCATAGGTGGGGAGATAATATGCTGCAATATATGTTACTGTACTTTGTTACAGATCCACTCTCTTGTTTTTTCTTGCTATGAGAGAAGTTTATGAAACAATAAGAGAAGCCTTTCCTGTACTTTGCATGGTTGCGGTTTTGGTTTCAGAATGTATTTTGTTTGTTCATGTAGATCTTCCCCACCCCTCTGTCCCACAAGGTGTGTGTGTGTGTGTGTGTGTGTGTGTGTGTGTTACTAACTTTAGAACACATATTTAACACTTGGCTGCCAGCATAGCTTTCTGGAGCGTTGAGATCTTCCCCACCCCTCTGTCCCACAAGGGGTGTGCATTACAGTGCTTAAAAACAGGAAGCATAAGTGGCACAAGCTGTGGATGGCGACTGAGTCAGTCAGATTGATTGTCAGTCACTTCCACATCCTGTAGCACCACACTATTCTGGATCTTTAGGAAAGCAGTAGAATGTAGAATCCAGTAGAAATGCCGTTGGATATAAGATACGCGAGCTTGTCAACTACTTTCTCAAAGCAGGTTTTCCTCAATATTTACACAAGGTAGATTCTCTAGTGACAAATGAGAGACTGGGAGATATATGCAGTCTAATCTTTGGCTGCAAATTCACTAGCAGTTGCCTAAGGAAGCCCCATGAGACTCAGTGGTCCTTATTTTCAAACAGCCATGCATAGGACTGGACTTTCAGGGTGCAATATGAGCATAATTACTGGGGAGAAGGTCCTCTTCAGGGACGGCCTTACAGGAAAGGCACTGTAAGCAGTCCTCTGCTGTGCCCAAACTCTCATCTGTAGCTATTATCTTGGAGACGGAACCAGGAGTGCACGGAGGGGAGGGGTGGACATTGGCTTACACCGCCTGCATCCTGAGGAATGTGATGGAGATGGAAGCTTTTGATTTCCCAGGGGGAAGAAACTCTAGTAAAAGAAAAGGCATAAAGAAGCTGTTGCATTCGGGTACCCGAGGGCCTGCAAATGGCCCTGTCCCTAACAGCCCTGCTTAGTTCTTGTAGACTGAAGTCTGTGACATTCTTTGTTGAGCCAATCCATCTCGTAAAGGCATTGTACTATCAATAATGTAAACAAGAAAACAGTGTTTTAGTGAAATTTAGTTGTTTAGTAACATGCAGTGTTTCTGCTGAGCATATAGTAAGACATGTTATCCCTGTTTTCTCATAGCATACTGTACTATGATCTTATGCAGGCCAGTTTGCTTGGACCAGCACTTAGTCATTATACATGAAGGTTACATTGCTAGACGTAGAGATAAAGTAATTAGCATGTCATTTTAAAATGAGTACATGCCTTTTCTTATGGTTTAGGAAACGAATGCTGTAGTATGATGTTGCAATGTCTGGCATGCAACCCAATTTTTTCCCTTCTCTCTCTTTCTCTTTCTGTTTATAGGTTGGCTGCAAAGCACTCCAGCACTTAGTCATTATACATGAAGGTTATATTGCTAGACATAAAGATAAAGAAATTAGCATGTCATTTTAAAATGAGTACACGCCTTTTCTTATGGTTTAGAAAATGAATGCTGTAGTATAATGTTGCAAAATCTGCCATGCAACCCAATTTTTCCCTTCTCTCTCTTTCTCTTTCTGTTTATAGGTTGGCTGCAAAGCACTTGTATTCCCTACACAGTTTAAAACACAAAAATATTATGAGATATTGAAGCTGGTTTGCCCTGAACTAGAACAATCAAATCCTGGAGCATTAAACAGCAAGAAGTGAGTGTTCACAACACTATATCTTTGCATACTAAATTTTTGCAAGCATAGTTCCTACACAGCTTTATGGGGGGAAATGGCTAAAATAAGAACCCACACAGTGACTCACAGGAATAGCAAAGACAGGAGGCAAGGGTTTCCAGATCTCCCATCACAGTGATGGAAGCCACAGGGGAAACATGAAGGTTTTAAAGATTGCTTCATATCTGCCACATTTCCCTGCAACAACATTGTAGCTGTTGGTGTCAGTAATGCAGATAACACAGGAATACATTGCCTGTAAAATAATATGGAGGATAGGCTGTTACCTAAGCAGCAAATCCCCCCTCTCCACATCGCTGAAATAGTCCAATGGAAAGGCAAGAGCCAATACAATTGGTTCCAGCGATGTCACAGGAGTTGCCACTCTGGAGAGGACACTCCAGCTTCACATGTAGCATCAAAGTCCTCCATACAGAGCATGTTACCATAGTCTCTTGAGACTGAAGGATGCCTGTGATGATTGTCTGTGTCTTCCTAAGACAGAGGGCATGAGTACATTTACAGAGAATGCAGGGAATGCTCTGGGATTGGGATGGTCTGATTTGCATTGTTTTCCATTGACTACATGACACAAACGTCAGTACGAGTTAGGGGCATGAGTACATTTACAGAGAATGCAGGAAATGCTCTGGGATTGGGGTGGTCTGATTTGCATTACTGTATTTTCCATTGACTATATGACACAAAAGTCAGTGCAAGTTATCCCAGAATTTCTTTTGTCAAATCTTTAATTTTTCCCATCACCCCTGGGGTTTCTCCTTTTATGGAATCAAATGCCTTTGCATTGGTTCAGGCTCTTGCTTGGCCCTAATTAACCAGACCTTCCTTTGTACTAGGCTACCAGAACTTTCCATAGTAATTAGCACAGATTCCAAGCTGCCTGGAACATTCTCCGTGGATGATCTGATGCAGGCCGGAGAGAGCAGCCACAAGAATCAGTTACAGGACATACGGAAGACCCTAGACAACCAAGAACCCATCAACATCCAGTTCACTTCTGTGGGTATCATATGTGCACTTTCTGAGATTTAAAGGACACAGGTCATAAAGATGAGAAACAAGTATACTTTTTATCAAAGAACCATAGATTTGCTTAGAACTGATAGCTCAAAAATAGATCCGTCAACATTTGGATGAATTTATTGTTCCATAGATTATTTTTAAAACGATATTCTGGGTGTGCAAAAACTGGAATATTTTGACAGTATATGAACTAACAACATGAAAATAATTACATGCTATCCAGTCAGTTCTGTCTGATGGCAACTCTCTTCAGGGTTTTATAAGTAAAGGATACTCAGAAGTGGCTGACTGTTCCCTTCTTCAGAGTCACGCTGGGACTGTGCAGTTCACCCAAGACTACACAGGCTGATTCTTTTCCTGTGACACACAGTGGGGAATTGGATCCCAGCCTCTGGTTCCACAGTTGGATATCTCACTTACTAAGCTATCTAGCCAGCAAAACAGGATATATGACTGCCTTGAGATCAATAAATACAAAACAGAGAAGGCAAAGTCTAGGTCCCATCCACTTTAATTTTTTCTTTCTTTCTCTCTGCCAGACCCCCTTGGCCTTCTCTCTCCATTGATTTTGGTTATATTTTTCTTACATTTTCCAAAGAAACAATTGGCGAATAAATAAATTCTCTCTTTCCTTCAGGGAACAACAGGAAGTCCCAAAGGAGCAACACTTTCTCATAGCAACATTGTTAATAATGCATACCTAATTGGTACCAGGCTGCGGATCAATGATGGGGTAAGTCTTGTTTGTCTATAGGTTAAGAGTAGAAGCACCAAATGTAAAGAGGAAAATGATATCTCCAACATGTTTGCATTAGGACTTTTCTTTTTTTGTTACCTCCAAGTCACACAAAATGTAAAAAGCTGTGCTTTCAGCATGGGGGGAGGGGGCGTTGTTGCAATGTGGAATTATCACCACCCCTTCCCGCTTTTTAGTGCCAGTGTCTGAAGATTTTCAGGTGCTTTGCTACAAATGGAACAATTGGTAACTTGGAATTAACATGAAAAGAAAAGAGAAAGAAATGTGCATGTGCCATCATGTTCTAAATTGTCATGCCTTCTACTTCTACACCTAGTCTAGGAGCTGCACAGAACTCAGAATGTTCCACTTTAAAAGGAATGTGTGGCATTACTAATTAATGCTGGACAGTCAGATTGCCATTATAGCGATTGCTGCTGCCCTTGTAGAAGTAATTCTTTATATTACACATTATTGGCACTCTGCATTTTTGTTACCAGCATGCCAAATAAATAAATACAATGAAATACACTATGATCCCCTGTGGTGGGAAAAGACAATCTGTCACCTTGTACATGTGTATAAAAATACAAAAGGCCAAACTAGAGAATACTTCCTTTCCCACGTAAGACTTGATAAAAGGCAGACATAAAATCTGAAAAAAATTCTGACAGATTGCATTTACATGTGCTTTAAAATGTCCTTTAAAGTAATATCTGAAAGTAACTAGATATCATTTGTTATACCAAGAAAGTAACTTCCTATAACTTTTTGCAGTATTTGTTACCCGAAAATAACTTATCACAGGTAACTACATTACTTATAACCAGTCTAGTCTAATTCTGGTTATTATTATTTTTTTTTGCATATACATTCTTGCCTAAGGATCATCTTTTAATATTACCTGGTCTTTTAGAAATCAAAGAAATGTAGCCTTTTGACATGGCACATTTCTGATATCCCCTCCCCACAAAGCCTCATACATGCAGTTCTGATTCTGCCCCGCTCCCAACCTACAGTTGTCATTCACTTGGCCTGTTTGAAAGGACTGTGAAAATGGTTAAAGCTAGGACTGGGCTTACCCCTGTCTTCCTTTTGTCTTGACTCTAGGATGCTCGCTGTTGTCTCCCTGTCCCTCTTTACCACTGCTTGGGGTCTGTGGCAGGCTGTGTGGTGATGGCGGTCCATGGTGTCTCTCTTGTGTTCCCAAATCTCAGCTTTGATGCAAAAGCCACATTGAAAGCACTGGATCAGGAAAAGTAAGAGTTTTGGGGCTTGGTCTTGCTTTGTTTTTGTCTCAAGAACGTTTCTATGAACTTTCAATTGTGTTCCAGTGTTGGGTAGGTCAGTGATTTAGAGCTGGCTGCAGAGCCAGGGGTTTGATACTGCACTATGCTTCCTGGGAGAAGAGACAGCCTGTGTGGCCTTGGGCAAGCTGTACAGACTCAGAATGCCTGCCAAAAGAAGGGACAGATAAACCACTTTGGAGTATTTCATAGGAGGTAAACCCTGGAACGTGGGATGTGGTGGCGCTGCGGGTTAAACCACAGAAACCTCTGTGCTGCAGGATCAGAAGACCAGCAGTCGTAAGATTGAATCCACACAACGGAGTGAGCTCCCATCGCTTGTCCCAGCTCCTGCCAACCTAGCAGTTCAAAAGCATGTAGATGCGAGTAGGTAAATAGGTACCACCATGGTGGGAAGGTAACACCGTTCCATGTCTAGTAACACTGTCTACGGACAAACGCTGGCTCTACGGCTTGGAAATGGGGATGAGCACCACACCCTAGAGCCGGACACGACTGGACTAAATGTCAAGGGGAACCTTTACCTAAACCCTGGAAAGGATCCCCATAAGTTGTATTTTTGATTTCATGGCAGATTAAAAAGAACATCAATAGGGATCATGACAACTCAAAAGCCCAAGCTCCTATTTTTGACATACGGCCTTATCTTTTGGATTGGTCCCATCTGTTTTGAGACAGCAATATTATAGTCAGGTTATTTTTGGCATCTTTTTTTCATCCTGCTTTCCTCTCAGAAGAACTGAGTAATCAGTTAGAAATGTGTGCCTGTGATGTGAAAGGCAATATGAAGCAGAGTTTGAACAGTTTCAATCACATGATATTAGGTCAAGGCAATGATCCATCACACACAAAATATTTTTTTAAAAAGTAGTATTGGTGTTAATACTCTTGTCTTTCATTAGTTGATTGAATTTTCACATTCCATAAAATTTGTATTTCATAATTATTCCTTGGCCAAACACATCACCTTCTTTGGTTATTTTCATAATGACTGAGAACACATTCTTGGACTATGGAGGAGTTTTGTACGTGATATGACAAGAATTTTGGAACACAGGCATTATACCAAGTCAGTGCACTGATTCTTTTAGTCTGGTCCTGGCATTCATGACTGATCGCTGCTCATCAGGGTTTCAGGCAGGATTCATCTCTAGATCTAGCTGTAGCTGGAAACGCCTGGAACCTTCTGTATTCAAGGCCTGTGCTTTGCCACTGAGCTATGTATGGTCCACCCCTTCAAAACATCTAAGAGCCAGTGAAGCAGAAGGGTTAGGGTTAGTTCTTCTGGGTAGTCAGCAGGTAAAGTTCATGTAGCATTTGAACATTGAATTTCCTTTACATTTAAGAAAACAAGCTCCATGATTTTGAGGAAAATATGCCTAAGCTTAGACATAAAGTTTAATGGTTCTGTCTACAAACTTGGTTCAAGCTTGGCTGTCATGTTCATGAACTGATTCTGGTAATCTGTAATTCTTTGTCTTTATTTTAAGATGCACTCATGTTCACGGCACTCCTACCATGTTCATAGATATCCTTGGTCAACCTGATTTTGCCAGCTACAACCTCTCAAATCTCCGGGGAGGTGAGTATAAGAATGCAAGAATAAAATCTTTTGTTTAGCACTGGCACTTAACTGTTGCAAGCCGGCTCGTAGCCAGTGCCTTTTAATCACTTAATTCAAATGTAAAAATTATATCAGTTTGTGTATTATGAAGACTGCAGTATATGTGCTGAGTGGATGAGAGAGATTATTTGTGGTGTAGGCGAAAAAGCTTGCATTACTTGGTTCAAAATGGGAATTCTCTCTAACATTTTATGTTCCATTCGCTGCTATATTAACATAGCACAAATCAAGTAGCTTCACATAATAAATTAGCATGCCTTTATTTGACAATCTTGTTATTTCTGGTTCACTCCTGTAAGTTAAAATGGACCCTATTATTTAGTTGATTTAGATGACTGAATAAGGAAAGTAACTGAAACCTGTGGGTTTTGTTTAATTTCCTCAGAACTGCAAAATATGAAGGCAATTTAGGCAGCTAAATTATTCTCAGGCTTCACTCTTATTGAAATGAGCACATTTGTGACATATTTTCCCATATGTGGTTAAAGTTAAAGATATTAAGTAACAGAAGTAAACTGCCATGATTTTTTAAAAGCCCATTTCAAACCAAATTACATTATGTTTCACTACATATTCACATTCATGAGCAATGCAGTGGAGTGTGCACTCATCAAAATACATATGTGTATATGGACAGGCTCCAGATGGTGATGCTCATAAAATATATTTTTCCTTTTATTATTTCAGCACTGAATTATGCCATTTTGCCATTTTATCTGGTTGAAAAAATGAGGAGAATTGTAGATCTCATTAAGGATGGCACGGGCTTGTTTTTTATTCCTACTTTTGCCAGTGTGTGGCAGCAGATGTTAGATATACTGTACATTTGCAATTTTTTTCTCCATCTTTCTCCCTCTATTTCTGTAGCATGGAATTAGTTCCAATGCAGATTTTTGCAAATACAAATATCAAGAGTTTCTTTAATCATCTTCGTCTTCAGTAAGTTCTAAGTCATTTATAAAGGAGACAAGCCTGTCCTTGTTACAACTTGGCTGTGCCAAAATATCAGTTCATTTGGATTCGTTAAGAAAGCTGTCCTTTCGACCTCCCCCTTTCAGGACTCATTGCAGGTTCGCCAGTGCCTCCTGAAGTCATGAAGAAAATAATCAAGAATATGAACATGCGGGAAATAGTGGTGAGTCCCCATTCATGTTTATGTCACACCATTTCCTCCAGTATATGGATGGTCTCTCTGTGCAGATATGTGTATGTGCATGCATACCATGTTGAATGGAAGGTCTTGTTTTCTTTTAAAATATCCATTAAGCATGGAATTCACATGCCTGACTGGAGCTGAATATTGTTGGTGCTGCTAAGGCTAAGGAAGGTCAAAAGAATTAACTGGTTTGGATTTTGATATATGCTACATCAGAATCAAATTGATTCTAACTTCAAGTAGATTTTTCAAAGTATGGGAGGGCTTGTCTACATGGGCTTAGAGTAGACTGGAGTAAGCTAAATAAGGTCGCTCAAGGTCAGGTAGAGATCTGGGATGCCATTTAGTCTTCTCCTTGCATACCATTTGGTCCATCTCCTTTAGGGGTTAAAAAGGGAAATGTAAAAAAAAAAGAGAGAAACCTCTTTGCCTCCACCTGTCTCCTCCAGCTTCCAGGAGGAAGTCTGAAAAAAAAAATCATAAGTGATATAGTGCCTCAGCACTGTCCTAATAAACTTTTTAGAAATTCAACTTTTATTTCCTTCCTCTGCCCTTCTGTGGTGGATCAGAGGAGGTTTTTAATTTCCCAATGCTGTGAAGTTCTCTGCCCTTCTGTGGTGGATCAGAGGAGGCTTTTAATTTCCCAATGCTGTGAAGTGGCTAAGCTGTCTTCTTAAGCCATTTAATGATATTAGGAAATTGAAAGTGGAAGGGAAATTTAAAGCTGCAAGCTCCACCATGTTTTGTTCCCAGTAATTGCACATGTGGGGATCGAAACAAAACAAAAAGCAATCCTACCCACACCAAAAGAATAGTAGCCCCTAAAAGGGACCCAGGAAGGCACAAGTAGATATGCTTTAGGAACCGGCTGGTTGGCTCCAACAGTTACATTGTCAGATCACTTTCAAAAGGAGCAACCAAAGCTAACACCACAATGGACCAAAGAGAGGGACAAGTGCATGCCTGATTGGACCCTGAGATAATTAAGTGGTGTGTTTTTTTCAGTGCCAAATCCCTCTCAATGTCTTTACATGGCAAAACAGGATTCTAAACCCAAGTGTCCTACACTCTCTCCAGCAGAGTTGAGTGACCATCAATATGAACTGAGCTGGACGAAAATGCAGATCAGAACAAAAGATGCCCTTTCAATTGTGCTCTTCTCCAAACTCTGGCAATGGCTCCTTGACAAATCTAGTGTTACAAGATGGTCTGAGAATGTTTCCTTCCTTCCTCCTCCTCCTCCTCCTCATTTTCAAGTAATGGCCAATCCAAATGGTTAGAAATCTTGGCTTCTGTTGCAAGTGCTATATACATATTCAAAAGAGAGCCGTAAATGTTCTGGGGAAGACATTCTCCCAGGGCATTGTTTGACAATGCAGAGAAGCAGTCTTGCTAGGTACAGTGTTAGATTCTTGGATGTTCTCATACGTACCCAGCAAATTTGTTTACATTTGTACTGGAATTGTTGGACGCACATGTTGAAATGCACCAACTTTGACCTGAGTATGTGAACTGTGGACTTCAGTGCAATATATAGCTATACATTCACACAAATGAATAGCAGCTAATCAGGAATTGTTCGGCATAAGGATGCACACTGCTTCCTAGGCATGTGCAGTTAGGATCAGCATGTGCAGGTAAGTTGTTTTTTTTCCCCCAAAGCCCAACTCCTCACGTACCCTACACACACAGGAGGTATTTGTTTGTTTGTTTTCTTTAAGGAAAATAAATAGTCAGCTAGGGCCCCTGCTATTTTTAATCCTACTACCCCATGGAGAGGTGATGATAACTTTTTTAGATGGGAGAAAAGTTAAAACTCTACAAATAGTAAAACCCATTTTAAATCTATTGTGTATTTCAGATGTCACTATTAATACCAATGTTCTTCTTGTAATTTCTGTTTAACTGTTATTTGGCAACATAGAATGAAGATCTGAGGACATGTCAAAATGCTCTTACTTATCTGAAAAACAGATGTTTCTCTTTCTAATTTTAGTATTGCCTGATGACATTTACATTTCTCTACTAGAACATCTGTAGGAGAAAAAAATTGTGAATATTGCAGGCATAACCCTCAGACTTCAGCCCTTTTTGTTGAATTCCAGTTTAGCAAGTGAAAGGCAATTGCCTGGATACACTCATTCTCCCGCTTTGAAGGAAGTCTATAGCACTGGAACCCCACATTTAAACATCGTAAATTTGCTGTTCAGAAATGGCAACATTGATTCAAAACTTGGAAAAGTTGCATTTTTGACTGTAACTCTCAGTGGTTGGCTAGGAATCCTGGGAATTGTAGTAGAAAGTTACCTTTTCAAGTTTTGCACAGATCACTCATACATTCATCTTGTGCTGGTAGAGCAGCGAAGACGTGTGCAGGGGGTTCAATAGGGGAATGATTGGAAGGCAGCATGCTAGCTTACGACTGAGCTTTTCTGCCTTACTCTATATGGTGCCTGAAAAAGCTTTCTTAAGAAGTCTTTATCTCACACATGCCCCCTGCAGAAAGGTTGTGACCCTGAATGATTTTTTATAAAAAAATCTAATACACTATGTACTGCACTGTCTACAAAGTGCTTTGTTTCAGTCTCCGAAAGAACCATATCTGAATTTGGAAACAGCAACACTCCGGACCACTGTACTTATGGCCAGAGGTGTAATTAGGAATTTGGCTCCCAGGGCAAGCAGCACTATCTACAGCGCACTACATTCTAAGGCACATATAAGCTGCCACCAAGAAAATGGAGGAAGAATATGTGGTAACACTCAAAATAGAGTTATTATAGCCGTGAGGTGACAGTGTTTATTTTCCTAACATTCACCAGTAGATTCACCTCTTGATTTTAGTAACCTCAATATTTTGGCACTCTGATGCAAAGCTCACTGGCCCTGCCCTTGTTAAGGCATTGCTAGGAGCCTCGTGGTGCAGTGGTTAAACGGTAGTACTGCAGTCAAAACTGCTCACAGCCTTGGTTCAGTCCCAGGTAGCTGGCTCAAGGTTCGCTCAGCCTTCCAACTGTCTGCAGTTGATAAATTGAGTACCCAGCTTGCTGGGGTGTGTGTGTGTAAAATGTGCCCTGCATAATTAAATTGTACTGTAAACCACCAGAGAGTGCGTTAAGTGCTATGGGTGGTATATACCGTAAGTAGCACGCTTTTCTTTTGTACTTTGCTCATTGTGGTGACCTGTGCCTACTCTTGACAACAACAACAATATAACTGGCGAAGGATGAGAAGAGAGAGACCTCTTCCTTCCCAAGATCATGCAGGCTTTACTTGCAGCAGGGGGCATGCATCCAGTGGTTCCCTAGTGTAAAATGCCCCCCCCCAAAGTCTTGAGCTGAAGAGGTTATTCTGTAGCACTGGAAGAACAACAGTCAGCATTTCAGCCGTATCATTGTGCCATTACTGACCCTTGGCAGAAATAACAGAAACACATGAAAATCTGTTCACTTCATATTTGCAGCAAAAGCTTTATACAGAAGTTGTACATAAGAAAATATACCATTTGTTTTCTACATAGGAGTAGGAGGAATTTTTTAAAACTTTAAAAAAATCCTCCTAGGAGTCATTTACACTCAGCAACAGAGGAATAAATACCATATATTTATATAAATCTTTTAGGATAAAAAATGCAGTTAAATTGAAATGGTGGTGCTGTGAAATCCATGGGGATAAACCGCCGTCATCTTGCCGCCTACGGTTCTGTTTTGTGGAAGGGTCATTTTCCAAGAAGGCAGGTGAAAATCCTTTTCTGCCCCCCCTTCTCCTTCCAACACTCTTTTTGATCTCATCTTTCTCTAAGGCTCTTGTCTTCAGATTTCCTGCCTTAAGGGAACTTTTGTGGTATCTGCCAATGAGCTCTGGAAGACCTCCCTTTGCCATGCTGATAAGCTAGTACTGCTTTCATACTGCGCCATTGGCTAGGCTATCTTGGGCTGATAGGAACTGGATGGCAACTCCTATCTTCCCTGAACGTTGGCTGTGCTGGTTGGGGCCCCTGGGAGTGGCAGTCCAACCACATGTGAGTGGGTAGGGATACTTTCTCCACCCTATATATCTATTGGCTTGGCATTATGTCCCACCTTTTCCCCCCCATAGTTATTTCTCATTGATAAGCCCACTCAAGATCTAAAACTAGTTTTGGAGTGCTGATTTCTGTTTAGTTTCTTGTCCTCAAAGAGGACACAAAAGCCTCTGATGGTTTTCACTGCACCAGACTCAGAAGGCCTCCCATGCTGCTTTGATGCACCTCAGGGCCAGAATGGTACTGCCTCCACTGCAGAGGTTTCCTGCTTCACTGAGCTGAATTTACAAGTGTTATATAAACAGGTCTGGATGATCACAGCTCTAAGATATCTGGCTTAGGGGTAAAGGTAGGGCTAGAAGACATGTTGTGAAACTTCACGAACATCCCATGGCATTTGTTTTAAATGCACCCAGGGGATCAACATCGCAAACAAAATCCTAAATCATTTCCTGATTCCAGGACTTCTGTCTTGATCTTGTTTATGTGGAATACTATAGATTTGTTGTTGTTTTTTGTCCAAGGATTCACTGATTCAGCTTTTGGTCATTGAAATAAATGCAGATGTTGAACATCAGTGACAAGTACTCAAGTCATGGAGGAATGGGTGCTGCAAAGAGCAGAGTAACCATTAGGGGCACCTTGCGAACACGAATGGTGCCTCAAACAAAAATTTAAGGAGGACACCTCCACTCAAGTCATGAGCAGCCTGTGATATAAATTTTTATCATCAAGCTGTGCCTGAGCATGGGCTGAGGAAAACGGCAGTCTGTGGACATGTCTGTACCTAGCAAATCAAAGCTTTACTATTTTAACTTCTGTTCCACTATGGAATACTGTGACATACATGCTAAGAATTCCTTGCTTGAGATCTGTAATACACCTCCTTGTATCTATATCTTAAGGTTTCTTGGGTCCCAGGCAGATACACCTGTAAGTGGCTTATTTAATGTTTGTCTGGTACTCAGTCCCTTCTCCACTTCCATGTCTCTTTTCCCATATATTTACCAGCATTTCCTCTCTTCCTCTCCCATGCTGACTGACAGCCATTCTGGTCTCTGCCTGGGAATGTAAAATCATAGAACAAGGTAGTACAAGCTCTGCAGGCAGAATAAAGACATATAACAACATTCCCCACAGTATATGCACAGAATTTTGTTCGTATAGACTTGTGAGATTCAGCACACTTGCAATCTTTCCTGTACATAAACATCAATGCCGGGGAGTTCTGATATGGAGAAATGATTTATGCTTGATGTTGTTAGTTTTCACAATGTTGGAAGGCAGATCTTGGCAATGAAGTACATAGCAACATGCGGTGGGTGAGTGACATCAAGACTGTATTTTTACCAGCAGGATCTAATTGAGCTTCTCTTAGCACTGTCATGCATAAGTTTAATTAAAAAAAAAAACCTTATCTTTTAAAATAATATGTAAAATATTTTGGGGTAATGAATGGTGGATTCCACCATGCAATTTGGATTTGGATAGATATGGGTTTGACTGAATGCATGGGATTGTTCTTGATGGAAGGGAGGAGATCAGGGTTGAAGGGCTTGGAAGGAGTCAGTAGTTTCCTGTCTGGTTGAAGCGACCAGTCACCTGGACTGGCTTTCCCAGATCCTGTGCAAGGAAAAAACCAAGAAAATAACATCACCTGAAAAGTTTTTGGAGCAGATAAATCACAGTATAAGTAACATTGCATTTTTGCACAGCACTTCTAAGGGTTCATAATAGACGGAGTGGCTTGCTTAAAACCACAGCAAGTTCATGGCAGGCACCGTATTTAAACTGGGGACCTTCTGATTCATAGATCTGAGTTTTAATTACTAACTACACCATCTCCATAAGACTGAATGTCAGTATATGTGTAAGCCTAATCTTTGCACTCCTCTAGTTCAGTCCTATTCATGCTCAACCAGAAGAAAGTCCGAAAGTGTTTATATGACTTACTCCAAGGTATTTATGCTTCTGATTGATGCTGTATTATTTGGGAAGCTTTTCTGGATCTGTTCCATGAAACTGGTATAAATCACTGGCATCTTGGTTTCAATGCTTGGTCATGCTCCTGGTTCTACAACCAAGATGCATCCTAGCATCTCATCAGTTAGCCACAATTAGCTGTAGCAAGTTCCATATACTTTATACAAATCCCAGTAAGATTTCATCCACTTGGTTTTACGAAGTTTATTTGGATTTGAAAAGAGTTGTTACTGTTTAAAAAACATAAGACACATGAATTTCTGGAGCCTGATAATCTCAAAGCAGCTATCGCATCATAGTTAAAATGAAACTAAATGTAAACAAACTACAAGAAGAAGAACTGTTTTTCCCTGCCAAATCACTGGCAACAAGGAACTGTGATGTATTTATCCCCATGTGTGTATGTATTTTTATTTGATTTGATTTATTTGATTTATACCCCGCCCATCTGGCCTGTTTGATTTGATTTATACCCCGCCCATCTGGCCTGTTTGGCTACTAAACTTCATATTCCAAGAATGGGAGTTGTATATAGTGATGAAATTGTGTACATTTCATAAGGTCCAGAACAGGAATGGCCTGGAACTCCACAGTGCCAGCTCACCTGTGCTTCCCATTCCTACCGACAACAAGCCTCCATTCAGTGTTGAAGCCAGAGTGCCATAAATTAATCAGTTGCATGTCTCTAAATGGGAAGCAAATATTTTCAGGAGCCAAGGACATGAGGCCTCATAGGACAAGAGGGCAGCATTAGAAATTCAGTACATTTTAACAGGATTTACTTGACCATTCGCCTAACTGCACACTCAAAATTATTAATCTACCTGTCTACCAACACTGTCTGTCCATTCCCTCTGCCTTATGTGTTACCTTAACAGACATGTCTTGCATAAAACGCAATGTTTAGCAGCTATTGCTGATACCTTTACTGTCAACATTTGAAATGTTTGTGGATGTTTCATAACACAACAGCCCTTCAAATAATTGCAGGAGAAGAGGGTTATAGGCTATACTCAAACCAGACTGCAGAAATCCATAAATATGATGATGATAATTGAATGAATGGATATACTTTGGAGCCTTAGTATCAAGCCAATTCAATCCACAGAAAGGCTTACACTGGGTTGTGTCTATCAAGTGATGCCTGTGAAAGATGGAACCCCTGAAAGTACTTTTCAATAGCATGTGATATGTAACAGAGAAGGAAAACCTCGACTGGCTGCTTAATGGCGACTTCCCTTCTTGGACCTCCTGGTGGGGAGCTTGCAGCTGCGGAGTGCCGCAGTGTCTCGGATTTGTTGTCCTCGAGCCGAAGAAGGTGATGCACAGACTGCATCAGGGCGTGACCGAATGGACTCTAGCCACCTAAGGAAGGAGAAATGAATCCTCACAGTTACCAGCAGCCTGTTGTCAGAGCAGATCTCCTCCTCAGAGAAAGTTACCCAGGTGTGTATGCCTTGAACAGGCATTGGCTCTTTGATTAGCCAGCCTTACACACACACACACACAAACACACACACACACACACACACACACACACACACACACACGAGTGAGACAGGGGACTTAGAGCTCTTTTACCTGCGCAGAGGTGCTAGCTGACAGGAGCAGTGCCAGGGATTATTAGACAAGGTGAGAGTCTCAAGGCGGCTGAATGGAAAATTCCCTGGAAGGCTGGACAGTTTGTTGTTTTCAATGTGAACAGTCTTCAGTGTGGTTACACCAGCAAATGCTTTATCTGAAAACTGAAGCACATGATCAGAAAAACGGTAGTGATTATGGAATTGGTAGGTTAGGCCCTACAGTGGTCCTCACCCGACCAGATAGGCGGGATATGAATTAAAAATAAATA